ATATATTTTATATGAGTCACATTTAAGAACATGTCTCTGAAATGGTTTTCAAAACTCCCTCATCTAACACACCCGATTCAATTTTATTGAGAAATCAGTATTGGTATCATTGATACTGGCCTTCAGTCATAAAAAAAGATGCCATTAAACAAATATAAAAAAAATACTGTCTTTGTTGTTTGTACATTAATTTGAAGATTGAATGTGAAATTATTGCAATATAAAAGTATATTTAAAAACTTTAATGTTAGGTGGGATTAATCATAATTAATCGCGCGATTAATTAGTTAATTTTTGTAATCGATTGACGGCACTAATTAAAACACACCCAAATCTTCATATAAGGCCTTTCCACACAATCTTTCCTCTACAGCCTTTCGTCACTCTCAGCAAACATATGAGGCTTTCTAAAGAAACACTCTCATCTGAGAGCTATGCAAACAATGGCAAGTGTGTTATCCTCAAAACCAGTTTAAAAACACAATAAACATTTTTAATACACTTTTCAAATTTAATTTGGCAGACATTTCTGCATTATTAATAGGTTATGGTGAATTAAAGCACAGTGACTGGGCCAAGTTTCTGTTCACCAAATGGGTTAATGTGTGCATTTATGTTACTATTTATGTAGAAGTTTAAACTTCTGCAGAAGCGTTGGGTTGTTTTTGTAGCTTACTTTCAATAGATGCTTATTTTTCCACTGGGAAGTTTGGAGTTTTGAAATTTAAGGTTTTTCATTATAAATCAAACTTTTAGTTAAGTACGTTAGTTATTAAGTTCCAGCTGTTTCCTGATTTTGTTTCCTGTTTCTTGTAGATGGTTTTAAATGGTTTCTTGTAAGTGGTTTGATCGCATATCGAGTTTTTCATTTCCTGGCAGGTGCCTGAAGATTTGGAAGAACAGAGTACAAGTGATACAGACTGACTGTGAAGACAAAAACGACAAAAAAAAGTGCAATAGAGTTAACTCAGGGGGAAAAAAACTGTGATATACAGTATTTGTAGCGGCTTTTGTGAATAAGCCAAATTTAGTAGTTTGTTTATACTGTAAGCTTTATACAATGACCGACTGTAAAAATTACAACAGGGTTGAACCTGATACTAAAACTGTGAATAAGAAATGTTTTTTGAACACCAAATTAGCATATTCTAATGATTTCTGAATGATAATGTGACATTGAAGACTGGAGTAATGACTGCTTATTTTAAATTATAATTGAGCTATTTTAAAATGTATTAAAATAGAAAAAAGTTCTGTTAAATTGTAATAACATTTCAAAATATTACTGTTTTTACTGTATTGCTCATCAAATAAATGCAGCCTTGGTAAATATAAGAGACTTCTTATAAAAACATTTTAAAAAAATCATACCGGCCCCCAAACTTCTGATCCGTAGTGTACATTGGAGATATTTTGGAAATAGATGTGTGACATTGAGGCTAAACCATGTAAAACTGAACGTTTATCGGGGTCTCATGCTGTGTGTAACCTCATTTCAGAAATGATATTTACGCTAAACAACATTACACTTGGGTATAAAATGTAAGATATGGATCACAACTATCATGTGTTATTTGGCTAGATCAGTTTGAGCATCTGTTTTCATATAATGGCATTTATAAAAGGTAATTTGTCATGGTTTTTAACTGAGGAGGTGGCGTCAGTAAATGTTGGTTCTGATGCTGGCAGATGCATCATACGACTGCATGATTGAGGCCCATGTTTAGATATGCTCTGTTTTGTGCCATTGTGCTAAAATCATTTAGTAAAACCACATTTGGAGTTAATGTCTTTATAAATGGTTGCCATGAAATAATGGCAGCATTTGTTAGTGGATGTGAATGGCAGCAGTGGCGTCTGGAATGGTATTAGCCACCCTTGACATTTCAGTGCATCCTGTATAAACACATTCTGCATTGAGCACCATTGCTAATCGATCTCAACTGATTCCTGGAGTCAGAAGTCAGAGTTTGATGGAAGTCCTGTGATCTAACCACCTAATTAATAGCCAGCTGTGGCCATACAACACAGGTGTCCTATATAGGAAATGCTGCTCCATCTGAAAGTGAGTGATGATGATTTCCTGCTGATTACAGAACCGGCATTACTATCAAAATGCGCATGACAATCGCATTCGATTAATCGTGCAGCCCTACCATGAAGCCATTCTATACCACAGAAACCAAATTGTTATTTTCTTATTATTTTTTTATTTTTATTTATTTACCATGGTAGTGAGGTGCCAAGTGTGGTTTTACCTGTAGTCGTTATGATCTAAATGTGCAATACTACGGAAGGCCAGTGTTTAATTTTTGTAGAGATTTTTGAGTTCTAACTCGGTAAGAATATTAAATTTTAACCTTTAAAAACAATGATGTTAACATTTTTACAGATGTTGCGGCCACCCCTGTTTTAGGCTCTGTGTATTATACATTTTTAGCTTTTCATTTTCACTTTTATGCATTTAAAAGAAACTAGTGATGTACCAAAATGGATTTTATACTGAAAGCAATGTTTATTAAATAATCGTTTAATTAATTAATTTAATTAATTGATTAAACTTAATAATAATAATAAATAGGCTACTCAAAAATGGAGTTGTATAAACATATAAATTGCACATAAGGCTGTTTTTATAATTATTTTACTACTCCAATTAATGGCAACTAGGGATATGCCGGTATCAAATTTTCATGTTGCAGTTAATTGCTAATGCTTTTATCGCGGTATACGGTATTATCACGATATTGAAATTTAGTTGCAAAAAAAGTGGTGTCATAATACAGTATAACCGGTTTAATAACTTTTTTTTTCTTATAACAAAAATAACTGAACATTTAAATACAATAAAGCAATACACAAAAATGTATAAAGTTAAAAATTTTACACTGATTAAAGTGCAAAAGAATTATAAAGACCAATAGGTA